GCCACCATCACAGCCATCGGCCAGTGACACAGAGGACCAGCACTCTTGAGATTCCTAAAGGTACTGCCTCTGCCAGTCCTGTACACAAGTCCAGACAGTTGTGGTAGTGGGCTGGGTTGTGTCCCTTTGTCTGAAGATCTAGAGGCAAATCAGCTCTGCACACACCCGATACCTGCACACATCTCTGCCTTCTCTTGGGGTCTCGACACACTGCGTCTTGGCTGGAGACCTGAAGAAGGCCACTCTGGGCCTTCCTTCCTGTTCAGCCTTCCTGTCTCAGCAGCCCAGAGCCCAACGATTCTGGAGTTTCCCTGCTGCGTGGCCCTCTTTGCTGAGCATCACTAGGCAGAAACTCTGGTGCCTCCCAAGGAGTCCAAGTGGATTGTGTCGGGTGCGGTGTTTGGATCTCAGCCAGCCCAGTCCAGAGCCTACACCACGGGCCCTGGTCAGAGTGAGGGCAGCATCAGTATCCACCGCCCAAGGCAGTGTCCACCCTGACCTCTCACCTCTCCAATGGGCTGAGCAGCAAGGTCAGCACCTCTTACTGGGCACTGGTCAGATCCAGAAGCAGTGGGCCCTCCCTTGTACACATGGCAGCCACGGAATCCCAGGCACCTCACAGACCAGGGTGTGGCAGCCAGGGAGAGACGCGTGGGGGGTGGGGGTAGGGTCAGGAACAGACTAGTTCAGGTCCTCTGTGCGGTGGGCCTCCAACCGCTGGGAGGCCAAGAGCTTGACCCCCACACTCCCCATCAGCCATCCCTGCTTCAAGCCAGGCCTTCGAGGAATACCTGGCACCCCAGGCCCAACTACCAGCATGCAGACTGCCTTCCGGAGCCCGAGGCAGCAGCACAACCTAACACCCTATGAAGGGTGTTCCCTCTCTTGCCTGCTCCCCCAGGCCCTCTGCTTTCAGCATGTAGAATCCTAGGTTCAGAAAGTTTCTGGCTCACCACTGCTGAAGCAGTAACTTTTGTCCCTTCGAGTGAAATTTTACAACCTCCTGTTCCCATAACATCCTCTTATGTCGGAGCCGGGACACCAAGATACAATACTGTCACAGCTTGGCCTTTGTCCAAGCTGCCTTTGTCCTCCCACAGTTCCATGCCGGGACCAGACCCCTGGGCCAAATGTATGAAAGCTGGAACCTGTGCTTTGTCCTTAGCTCAGCTGTTTTGGATTTATCAGCTGAGCTGATGTACATCTAAAAATAAAGTTCTCCTGTTTCCCATTTGGTCTCCCATGTCCCTCAAATCCTGCAAGAATATGGGGTCTGCAGGCAATCGGAATGCGCAGTTGTGTATGTGGGTTTGTGTGTGGGGTACATCCCTTTTGTCTACTGTGGCCTCGTGCCACGTCCAGACCAGGCCAGTTATGGCGGGCCGTCAACCAAGGCTGCAGGATCTGGCTCAGCTGTCTAAGCCAGCGCTGGTCAGGTCTGCTAGTGACTGGCAGCAGCTGTGTAAGGGCATGCAGCAGACGCAGGAGCCGGGACCAGTAGCTGCAGCCACAGGTGCAGGAATGGCCCATGTGGCTGGAACTGTGATGGCCTTGGGCTCCCTGGGATGCCCGGCTTTGTTTATGGCCTGCGGTGAGGGCAGCTGGAAGTCTCGGCTCTTGCAGTATGCTGAGCCCTGGATGACTGTGGGCCTCCCTCTCCGTAGCTTACCCTCTTCTGCTGGGCTCCAGCTTCTTCCACCGGTCAGAAGCAAGTGCAGTCCTGGCCCCATGCCAGTCCTTCATGGCAACAGGCATTCCAGAAGTTTTCCTTGGGCCAGGATGGCTGACCTGCTGCACATGAGACCAAATAGCTGTGGAGCAGATTGCATTGGCTTCCTCTGAAGATCTGTAGGCAAAAACCCCTGCCCACACATGCCTCAGCTGCACGCTCACATACCTACATACACCTTACCTGTGTATACATGTCACTTGTACCTGCACACACCTTGGCTACACACCCACACAACCTCACTGGCATCTAATAACCTATCCACACCTCACCTGCACACCCACACACCCCTTTCACACTCTCCCCACTTTATATACTCCCCCACAGACCAAGGGCTTGAAGGGTGCTGTGCCTGCATCTAGATTCTCCCCAAAGCCTCGTGTAGCCATAGGTGGGGCCTTTTCAGAGGTGGCTGGACCTCAAGTGTGTGACCCTGGGATGGATCCTTGGTGCAATGCTAGGCTTCAGGGCACTAGGACTAAGGGTGTGAGTGGTGCCCACTGTGAGTAGCCTGGATAAGATATAAGGAACAGAAATAGCTGACAACGGTTCCTTTCTTGCTTGTTTTTGCAATCTTCTGCCCACCATGAAGTGCTTCTCCTCTGTGAAGCCTGTCTGTCTTACCTCCCCGCCTTGGCGCCAGCCAGTTATGAACTGAAATTTCTGCAAACTGAGCCAACACACACCTTTCCTCCTTTAACTTTGGGTGTCTGGTATTTTGTTTCAGCAACAGGAAAAGTAATGAAAATACAAGGACCCTTCTGCTGCTTCTTTGCCCTAAATGCTAAAGGCCATAATGTGAACCTAATCAGGTCCCAGGGCAGAGCTGGCTTCCCCCAGGGCACAGGTGCAGGACCCTGGAGGTTCACACCGGCCAGCCAGAGCCAGGCTGAAACAGAACTTACAGATGGGAAGCCTGCCTCAATTTCCTCTTCTGGGACAAATCTTTGAGGAAGCTGTGGGATAGATGGGGGGGGGTGCTCCCCAGATACCTGAGTGCCACAGGCTTGGTGCCACAGGCTGGTTTGTGGCAGTCAGGGGCTGGCCCTGGGCTACACACAGCACTACCTCACCCCGCCTATTTCCTCGTCAACACGAGCAGACTGATGTGCAGGGCCTGGGCTGGGGGCAGCTGTGGGTATCCCCCCACCATCCTTGGGCTGTGACAGCTGCTCTGTGCCCCAGCTCTAGCCCCCTTCCTTCCACAGCCCAGACTCAAAGACGCAGCCAGGGGTGCAGCCTCAGAGGAACCAAAGGAGGCCCCGAGGCCGGGGAGTCAGCGCCAGGCACAGCCCTTGCAGTTGAATTGACCATGTCCATCGGGGTCTCCTTAACTTGTACTTCCTGTTAAGAAGCGTGTATGTGGCGGTCTCTTTATGCCCTGCCCTCATCCTGGGCCCGATAAATGGCACTATTCAGAACCGCAGCCACCTTGAGGCCAAAAGAGAAAGGCCATGAGTCAGAACCAAGGCTCCTGAAGCAGCAGGGATCCTCGGTCCTTGGGGATGGTACCCATGTCCTGGACACAGATGGGGCCCCTCAGAACTCTGTATTGTAACATACCCTCTCTGGAGCCCCTACAGGCAGCATCCAGCACAGTGAGACCACCCACAGGGCAATCAGGGCTCCTACGGCTGTGGCAGGAAGGCAGGTGGGGTCAGTGGCTCCAGGGAGCCCATGACCCACATGGTTTGGCCTTTCCCTCCTCTGTCACTTCCACTAAACCCCCAGCCACCCTGAGGATGGCCAGCCTTGGGTTCCTATGAAGAAAGGTGAGCTTGGTAAGACCCAGACTTCCAGGACGGCTGCCTCCAGTAGGTCCCCTGTGGCTGGACTGTCCTGTAGACCTTTTGGGGGCCATCCTTGACCAGAAACCTTGTCAGCCAGTAAGAACCAAGGGACGGCTGCCCCCAACTGTGCCTGTCCAACCTACTCAGGCCAAGCGCCTCCTGTGGTCCCACCAGATGGCCCTGCTGGGAGGCTACAACTAGCCTTTGGCTAGTTCCTCCAATGGCCAGGCCTCCTCAGCTTCCTTCTGGCACCTGCATATTCCCTGGTCTGCCACCTAGACATCAGCATCCAGGAAGGGATCTCACAGGCAGCCCCGATACAGAAAAGCAGGCTGTGGCTCTGAGGGAGGTGCGAGGCATGGCCACGGCAGGGGATAGGAACCTAAGGCATGCCCTGGACACAGAGGGCGCCTATCCCACAGGATTCTAGGAGGGCTGTCCTCTGACACAGGCTTCCGGGCCTGCATAGAGGTTGGCTGCCAGGCTGCCTGCCATGGTGCCCTGGTGCTGGGTGCTGGCCACATGTGGCCCCACTGTCGTGCTTCCTGGCACAGCCAACACCCCGGCCGAGCACACATGCTGTCCCTGTGCGGCAGGGCAGCAGCCACCCTGGCCTAGCACATGTGTTGGCCTGTGTGCAGGATACTGTGGGTCCATTGGCGTCGGGCCACCCTAATTGAAGCAGGTTAGTGTCAGCTGCCTGGACCTCTGTGGAGGGCTGTCCTCAGCATGCCTGGACTCAACAGTTGTTCTCAGTGAGAACTGTGTAGGTGTGTGGTCAGGGCTGACCTGTGATCCAGCACAGGAAATGGCATGGTCCTGCTCAATGTGTGCTTACAGACACCAAGTGCTAAAGCCACATGCACTGTCCTGCCAGACCACAGCATGCTGATTTCATGCCCAGCACCCTGTGACCACACAGGCCTCCCTCAGCACTGCTCTGTGCCCACATTGGCTCCAGCCAGAAACGCAGAACAGGCGGGCGCAGCACAAGGACAGGCACAGCACTGGCCATTAGGAGACTGTGTGGGGAGGCCAGGTGCTAAGTGTGTTAGCTCACACATGCAGCCATGGTGTGGCAGACAAGCTGTGGGATGTGCACACTGGTCTCCATCCTCAAGGGACCCCACGGCCTATGGGTGACGTCTGCCCTCATTTCATTTGGCTCTTCTGACACTGACACAGGCAACACCGGGAGGCCACCTCAGCCCTCCGTCAGGCAGTCAGGCTCTACCCCGAGCTGCCTAGTAGCAGTATCAGCATCAAGAGTGGTAATATGAACCCCACGGCAGAAGGGGGAGCCAGGCACAGGGTGTGGGGGGTGTCTGTGTGTGACCTCGAGCATGACATCCCCACAGGCCAGTCCAAGCACCGACTGCCAGGGAACATGGGTTTCCTTTAGTGTGACAGAATGTTCTGGAACATGACAGGTGATCGATGCACAACAGTGTAAAAATACCTACTACCACTTAACATGCACCTTAGAGTAGTCAACGCCAAGCTTTATGTTGTGCATTTTATAAAATTAAAAATAAAAAGGTTTTCGGGGGAGGCACTAAGGTTTAAACCCAGGGCCTTCACCCTGCGCTACACCCCAGAGCCTTTTGAGACAGGCTCTTACTGAGTCATTAGGTTGCCTAGACAGGGCTTGAACTTGCAATCTTCCTGCCTCAGCTTCTCAAGACAGACAGAACTACAAGCATATAGTCCAACATGTCCGGCTAAAAACAAAACAACACCTTGGGCCACTGGCCTATCGTCCTTCATGGAGGCGGCATCAGGGACACTCCATCCTGGCCACTTGTCTGTCCTCCCCACAGGGGTTCAGCCCATAGGCTGTGATCCCTCCCATCCCCGCACAGGACCCTGTCCCAGGGGGAGCCCAGCCCCCAAGCCCAGGCCCATGGCTGTCTGTTCCAGATGGCGCCATACGTATCAGGCTGAGGCTGTGTCTGCTGAGTACAGCGAATTTGGTGGCAGCTGCTCCTGTCTGCAGGACCTGCTGCAGCACAGGACCTGCCTGGGAAGCCCCGCCCTCGGTCCTGCCAAGGCCTGGCTGGCACAGAGCATGGCCCTCACATTGCCTCTCCCAGCATCTTGCTTGGTGCTGGGACTGGGGTGGGTGTGAGGCACAAAGCCAGGGAACAGCCCAGGGTCAGGGTGTGTGGCTCTGCTTGTGGCCAGGGTCTTGCCTCCTGGCCCCATGAGGACACAGCGCTTTTAGGGTGCAAGTCTGGCCCCACCTGACTCAGTCACACAGAACTTAGGCTCCTTCACCAACGTCCAGAGGAACCTCCTCGAGGATCTTGAGAGCGCAGCCCTCTCGCCTGCCGTGAGCAGCCATGCTGGCACTGGGTGCCACCCGTGGGTCCCTCATCACGGCCTCTTCCTAGGACCAAGCGTCTGTCCTCTCCCAGCCCCCAGATGGCAGGTTCTTCACACTCACGTTCCCAGCATGAAGGGGGCCTGTGGGTCACACAGGCATGCTATGTCACAGCAGAGCAGGGACAATCACGTGCTCGCCAGCTCCGAGTCTCTACTTTATTGGCGTCTGTGTCCAGAGCAGGCTGTGGTACACGGCATCCACCAAACTTGTCTCAGTATGGACGTTTCTGGGTGCTTGACACGGATCCCACAGCTGTGGCTGTCTGTCTTCCAGTGCGATGACTCCCTCCCAAGACATGGGGGGCACATATGGAGGCTGCCCACTGGCCTGTCCTTCAGCCCCTGGGCAGCCTTCCATGCCACAGCCTGCCTGTGGTTCATACCCATGTGGAGGGGCCCAGCAGGCTGAAGCTGGAGGCACCACAGAGCTGCATGGCCGGCTGCAGGCTGCACAACTGTACTCTCTGCCCACGGTAGCTGCAGCAACAACACTGAGTCTCTGTGTGACTGACAGGAGGCACGACGGTAGTTAGGCCACTATGCCCTGGGCCAAGCTGCAGGCCAAAGGGGACAGGCTTAAGTCTCTCATGACAGACTTCACCAGCACACCAAACAGCAAAACACAAGCATGAGACACTTACGAGCTAGTTCTTCACAGAGGCCGCTGGCTCTGGAGACTGAAGGAACTCATAAGGGTCATGGGTCACATCCTGCTGCTCCCCAACACTAAGGTGAGAAGGGCTTCCTGTGAATTGTAGGAAAACATGGCATTCAACAGACAACACAGATCTCTAATCCCTGGAGAGTTAGCAATGTCTGTGTGACCGCTGGGGACAGAAGATGTCCAATCCTAGGCTCCCAGAGACTCATGGCTACCAGGAGCTATTGTTGGCACTGCCAGGCTAACAGCCTGACCACAAAATGAAAGGCATCTGGAGTACTGGTTCCCCTCGGAGGGCTGCAGCCAAGCCCTGTGCATCACCTCCTCAGCAGAATGGCAAGACTCATTCTGCCCATGGGGTAATTCAGTACTCACCGTGAACATTACTTGGGTCTGGGGAGGGAGCTCCATGGTGGAGCACTTGCCTAGCATGCCCAGGGTTTCCACCCCAGCACCAGACAGAGAACTGAAGCACATTTAAAGGGCTCCCATGACCAGTATCCAGTGTCCTTGCAGCCTGCAGCTGCCAATGTGGTCCTGTCGCCCCTTGGAACATGAGATTCCCTGGCAGGTACAGCCGTGTGCTCTCCAACAGAAACACTGTGAGGGGCTGCCAAAAACACAGCACTGGCTGACATGCAGACTTGAACTGGGAAGGGCGGAGGAGCCAGGGACAGCCGGAGGCACCAACGCTCTGCAGCCTGACCTACTTGCAGCTCTTTGTTGTGGGTCTGCACCGACCAAGAAACCTAGGAGCTCACAGGATATGGAAGACACAAGCACGGTAGCCGGAGGCCATGCCAAGACCCTGTGTCAGAGCCACGTGCCAGCTTCTGGCACACTGGCTGCACTGCCTCTGGGAAAACAGGCCTACCCGAAGGGTGCTGCTCCCTCTCAGAAGCATTGGACAAGGAGCTGAGGTTGGAGGACGGCCGGGAGCCACCACGCTCGGCCTGTGCTTCATGCAGATCCTGCAGGAGCTTCGCTGTCTCATCCAGGTTCAGGTGGCCATCATCATGGTCCAGCTCCTTCTTCACCTTCCCTGTGTGAAGAGAGATAAGTAGATGGCCTGGGCCAGGAGTCACTATGTGCTGGACACTGACTCTCTGCCACCTCTTGCAATGTCACTGCTACAGGAGCTTGGCAAGGGCATTCAGTTCAAGGATACTGCCCACCATCCTCACACCAGCGGAGAGCCTCGAGGAATCCCAAACCACCTGATGCACAAACACTACAGAGAGGACCTCGCCACAACACTGATCTCTTCCACTCAAGGAAGAGAAAGTTGCCAGAGGGCAACAGTGGTCACCCCAGCTCATGGTCAGCAACTGAGACCTGGCAGTTTTGCTAAAGGTCAGAAAACATGGGCAACTTGGACAGTGCAGGACCTGTGCCAGCCCCCATCAGACCAGGCCTTAGCCTAGCTTGCACTTCTACAATTGTTATGGTTGATACTTTGTGTTAACTTAAGAAGCTTAACAGCAGGGGGCCAAGGTTCTTACTTTGCAAACATCCTTATCCTGTGCTAGAGGGCAAGGAAATGGTATGAGAGCTACTCTCCGCCCTAGATGGAGGCAAGGAAATAGTATGAGAGCTACTCTCCGCCCTAGATGGAGGCAAGGAAATGGTATGAGAGCTACTCTCTGCCCTAGATGGAGGCAAGGAAATGGTATGAGAGCTACTCTCCGCTCTAGATGGAGGGTTGGTGCTCTGTGCACAATACAGAGGAAGAAAAGAGGCTTGATTTCCCCGCTCTTTTGCTCTGACTGCTTTTGCTGATTGCTGCCTTGAAGTGTTGCTCCTGTTCCAAGCCACCAGATCGTGGAGCCAGCTGAGTTCGGACTGAAACCTCTGCGAATGGGGAGCTAAATAAACCTTTCCTTCCTTCATTTTGGATGTTCCCTATTTTGTCCCAGCAAGGCAAGGGAAAGTAACCAAGATAGCCTTCATTGGCCTTCCCAGTTACTCAGGGCTGATGAGTTTTCCTGCGTCTCACAGAACTTCAACTAACACACCAATGTTGCCACAAGATGGTAGTGGCCATCCACATGAGGAGCCACACAGGAAGCACCCAGGACTCACCCAGAGAGCTAAGCATGGAGATGTCCAAGGAGACGTCAGAATATGACTTCATTGACATGAAATCCAGAACAGAGCCACTGTTGTCTCCCAGTGAGTCCCCAACCTGCAGAAGACCATCATCAAGCTTAAGTGATGCCAAAAGAAACAGGATACTAAAAATGCTACTTCAGGCCAGTGACAGCAGTCATTGCACTCTGCAGGGGGACAGACAGCCCATCCTCCAGAGCTCCAGTCCAGGGCCAGGGGCTCAGGTCATGATGGACACACCCAGAAGAGTCAATGCAGAGCAGCACAGCAGCCACCGTGCCCAGGAAACACAGAAGCTCAAGGCCTAGGGCATTTTCCAGGCATGAGGTGATAAATTCCAAACCCAAGGCCTCTTGCCCTCCCCAGTGAGGGGTACCCTGGAGGGGTGCCTGCAGCTACTTGGGCACACTCCAGCCACTTCCCAACTGTCTACCTGCCCTCAAGTCATGCCAAGGTCTCTCCCTCCAAGGGGGCCCAGGGACTGACCCAGGGCTACCCTGTTGGGGGTGCACGCAGCACTGCCACACCCATTTGCTAGCCCCCAACCTCCAACAGTGCCTGTGGAATTGGTGCTCTAATATTCGTTTCTCGATCTGGGAGGGAAGTGCTGTGACTCCACCCTTGGCCCCTCAAGTCACCCAAATAGTAGGGAGGAGTACTGCCACCAAACATCCTTCCTTAGACATGAGCTGTCCCCAGTGGATGACACGAGGCTGCCTGCCATGCCACCGCCCTGCTTGCCTTGTGTGAATCCAATCAAGCTTTCGATTACTCTAGAACCCACCTTTACTTCGTCTGCAGCTCGAACAGGAACGTTCCTCCGCTGCAAAGAACAAGGTGGACACCAGTTTATCTACAGCAGTGCTACAAGAAGGGCAGTTTGCTCCCTGGGGCCCTGCTCATCACGGCCTCACCATGCAATGGGGAGAGGGGTCCTGCCAGGCTCCTCACAGCCAACAGTACTGGTGGCTGTGCCAAGAAGGGATGGTGGGGCAGGAGGGGAATGGGAGGGCAGCTGGGTCCCCAAGGCTGTCAGCAGCTGAGGGTTTCTAAAGCAAAAGAGGGGAATTCGGGGAAAAAACAGGACCAGTGGTTCAAACTCAGGTGTAACCAAGTGGAGCCTGGTGGGAATGCTGTCCAACGGGCGTGCCGGGCAGCCGGACTCTGGGTATACAGGGAGCAGGGGCCTCCGGTGCCTTCATCTTTTTTGTTTTTTTTATATGTAAGTTAAAATGTTACATTTATTTTAACACACCTGAATTCGAGTGGAAAGGTGGAAAAAGACAGTATAATACACACAGTATATCTAAGATGCAGCTGTCCTAAAAATCATGCTTTGGAAAAGATGGAAGAATGACACAACGGGAACAAACCTGACTTAGTGGAGAAATTTTCATGATATTTGATCTTTAACCCTTTGTAAGTACAATAATCTCCAAAGGATTTGGCAGCAACTTATTTTTTCTATTTCTAGTCTTCTAAAGTAGGCAGTCTTGCCTAAAGTTAATCTTATGAATACCAACGCACAAAAGGTGAGCTGATGACAAATTAAACCCCGCTATCCAGAGTAATGAAGGGTAAAAGATACTGAATAGATTCCTTTGTCAGAAAACTGACCACCCAAGATGACTACCTGGAGTCCTCACACTGGAAAAGCAATAGCAGCTTAGTGGAACTCAGTGGAACTTGTAACTGTATCTTGTTCTCTATTTATTACTTAGGAACAATTTGTATAGTTAAGTAGTCCTCCTGGACAATCTGAATCCATCAAAATAACATTCTACAACAGTATAATTTTAAGGGCACAATATCTCTTTTGGGAAAATCTCTTCATGTAGTGATTTCTTTTTTTTTTTTTTTTCTTTTTTTTTTTTTTGTCTTTTTCGTTTTTATCGGTACCAGGGATTGAACTCACGACTGCCTGCTTGCAAGGCAGGTGCTTATGCCGCTGAGCTAAATCCCCAGCCCCTGATTTCTTTTTTTGATACAGGATCTCACTATGGTAGCCCAGGCTGGCCTCAAACTCACAAAAATCCTCCTGCCTCAGCCTCCCAAGTGCTGGGATTACACACATGCACCACCACACTCAGCAATACAACAATTTTAATATCAATATTATCCATTCTTTGAAACTTAAAAGTATTTAACTAAATTAAGTTAGACATTTTTAAATACTACCAACATCATGACTAGAGTATTAAAATTCTATATACTATTTATATCTAATATCCAAATGCATTTACTACTAAATCCTTGCAGTAGATATTAGTCTGCCGTTCTTGGTAATTGATCAGCATAGGTGTAACATCTTTAAGATCAGCATGATTTTAGGGTCTACTCTTTCACTTCACTAACTGGAAACAGCATGTACAGAATAAACAAGTGGTGCTTAGCTCTTCAAGTTAGCTGTCACAAGCTCAGATATACAAGCTGGTTGCAGATTTTCATCAAAAAGTGCCAGAAGCTGTCAGAGGCTTTCTAATGTAGATCCTAATCTGATGGCTAGTCGAACAAGCAGCAACAGAGAAAGAAGAAAAGCCTTCAGAAATCCTGCTGAGCAAGTGGCCTTTCTTCTTAGCATCGTGTGAGAGTAGCTGTGTACTGCCTCGGTGTTTAGGGGAGCTCCTTGGGTACATTTGCTAGCCGACTGACCAGTCCCATATCCAATCTGAGCTTTCTCTAGGCTCTCAACATAATCCCTCTAGGGCTGAGCGCTATTCTTTGCTCCAAGGCTCTGTGTATCTGCTTCAGAAGCTCTGTTAGTATCTTGTGGTGACCTTGAGCGAAAACTTTGAGAGGTATTCCATCTATATTCAGGGGGCACCTAGCAGCACCTTTTCCATGTCACCATTGTAAATAGAAACTGAGGCTGGACCACTGACCCATCTCATTACTGGAATTCTTCCCGGAGCCCTGCAGGCTCCCCCTCTGCAGCCCGGGGATCCTCTCTGCTACACGGCCCCAGACGCTACTTGATCATGGGGTCCACACCACGCTGGGATAGCACCTTGGTGGCGGCCGCATAGAAGCACCTACTTTTCATTACAAATGCGGCCCTCATTTTGAAGTCTCTTTGCTCATAAAAAGTTTCTGCTATATTTCACACTTCACCATTTAATGCTGTGGGCCACCTGGAATTATTCAACTCTTAACTCTCAGAACAGTGGTCAAGCTGGAGTCCACAACAGCTGACAGTGTGACCTCAGGTGAGAAGCACAACGATCAGGATGCTCCTCCTACCCTACTGCCGGCAGGGTGATGCTGTGCTCTGAGCTTGGCTGCCCTTGTGCATGAGGACCGGGCCAGAGCAGGCGTCAAGCTCACAGTTGGGGCAGAGCCCTGGAAGCACTTGAGGCAGCAAGGGTGAGACTCATGTGGGAAGAACCACCGTGAGTGTCACAGGCCAAGCACCCTGAGAGCCCACGTGAACAGAGGTCCATTCAGCAAGCACAGAGACCCCACCAAAAACTCGGGCCACCAAAAGAGACCCGAAGTGCTGTTCCTTAGCACCCAGACTGAGTTGGCCTACTATAAAGGCTGCCCTAAGCCAGCCCTGCAGTATCAAGTGATGCCCAGTAATCTAGCTTTCTGTCAAAACAAAAAGGAATATCCTTCAAAAGATAATAAAGTCTACCCAGTCTTGGGTTGGGGCTATAGTTTGATGCTTGTCCGACACGCCACACGGCCCTGGGTTTGAGCTCCATGACCCGGGAAGAAAGAAATTCAACAGCCTCGTCCAACAGAAATACACTGTATGTACACTGCAAATTTCTAATTTGAAATTTTCTAATAGCACATCAAGAGCACCCTTAACATGTAACTTTGCTTTCCCAATACACAGAAAACCTCCTTATCTGAATACATAATCCATGCATTAAAATAGTTAACACTTTAAGTTTATTTTGTGTTGGTCTTTAAAATTCTCACCCACCCTTGGCTCACATCTCAATTCTAACCTGCACATTCACAGTTCTCAGAGGCTGCACATGACGACGGGGGCCTGTCACCACACTATGTGTCTGAGTCCCAGTAAGGAGAACCCACAGGCCCAGTGTCCAAACACAGCTATGAGGCAAACGGGAGCAAGCAGGAATGAGTGACACCCCAGGCTAGGTCCAGGGACGAGTGTTTCAGAAGCTGCCGCAGTAAACACGATAAACATGCTCATTAAAAGGAAGATTAAAAGGAAACATCAATATTATGTAAGAACATAAAAGACACAAAAAAGAACCAAAACAAAATCCTGGAAATGGAAAACTCAAGAAGATGCCACACAGATGAACACGTGTCAAGTTTCTTCACCAGGTAATTTTTTAAAGCAAAATTTAAAACCAACGAGAGAAGGGCAGTCAAAAGTCATTTTTCCAAAGCTGCTCTGCCCTAGGAACCAGTCAGGCTGCCACAGCATCCCCCGCAAAGCCCACCTGCTTCAGCTGGAGGAGCATCCTCGAGTGGTCTCCACCTGTGATCTGGTCCAGGAGATCATCAACCATTTTCTTGCTGTAGCTCCCGGCATCTTTCACGAACTCCTGCAGACTGGAAGGTGACCATAAGGGGGACAGGTTGAAAAAGCATGTCTAATCTGCAGACCCTGCAGTGCCAGGACAGCAGCCATGTGCATGCCTCCTTTGCGGTGAGCTACTGTGATCTATGACCAGAACTGACCGAAAGGCTCTCCAGGAACTGTGAAAGCAGTATAGACACAAAATGGGTACACAATCTGTATCAACAGCGACATGCACATGACTTCCGTAGGAAGCGGGTGTGCACACCTCCTGGTCTGGACTCTAAATCACAGACAAACTAGGAGGATGTCGAACTGGCAGTAATGACCGAGCAAAAAATCGCTGCGCTAGTAAATTTTTTTTTTTTTTTTGTCTTTATCCTTTTCATCGGTACCAGGGATCAAACTCACGACTGCCTGCTTGGAAGGCAGGTGCTTATGCCGCTGAGCTAAACCCCCAGCCCCTGCGGTGTAAAAAGATCCAGTCTGAGAATCAGTGCATCAAAGATGGCTGAAGGGCTCCAGTGACTTCAAAGACCTGGAGGATAGGGAGGAACATAGAGGGCTGCTAGCCTGGAGCTTAGCCAGGAAGGGGAGCCCCACAGAACCCACGCCACAACCAGGGATGCTCAAACCACAGCTGCAGAGTGCCGGGTGACAGGACAAAAGGTCTGCATGGGGCCTTCAAATAGGCAATGAAGGTTGGCGTCCCCAGGAGAGCTGGTCACAGCACACAAGCATTAACAGAAAGAGGACCAAAGAGACAGGGAGAGAATGGCATCAAGCCTACTGACACCTACATCACAGACTCCCAGGAGTATGAGGATAAATGCTGCCCAAACTCCCCGTAGAACTCTATCACAGAAGCCCTGGCTGACTCACATAACCACTAAGAAACACATTCTAATATGACTATGAAAAACACTCCTGACAAGCACAATCAGTGCAACACAGACACTCTTCATGAAGCTGAAGGCTGGATCACTGCCGCCTCAAAACTTTGACTGCACTTCAAGATGGCCTGGGGCAGGTCAGGGTGGACAGCTGACGATCATGTGGGATTTCTGCTGCCCTTGCACTTGTGGCCTGGGTTGCTTCCCCACAGGCACAGAGGTGGGCACCAAACCACAGTCTGGAAACCAGCACATACCACACAGCAAGGGGCTGCAAGCCAGGCTCACCTGAGGGCACACTGCACGCCTGTCTCATCTCCGTAGGCCGAATACAGCAGCTCCATCTCATCCGACTTCAAGTCACCAAACACACAGTTATTCTGCATGGAGAGAGCAGTGCTGGCACTGGAGAGGAATGTGACTAAGGAGAGGAGAACAAGGGGCAGCATTTCAGGCTCAGGACACACAGCATGGCCAAGTGCAGTTCTCTTCCTCTCCCTGTCTCTACAAAGCACCCTTCCTGCCTGTGCTACCAAGGGGCACAATCCCCTCTGGAAGGCACTATGGGAACTGAGTTCAAGAGGGCTGAATCTGCCCAGAGTTCATGGAAGTTACTCCACTTAGCAGGGGGCCCAAACATGGGAGAATTTCAACACCCACAGCAACAGAGAAGAAGACAGTCAAGCCCAGGCCACGGCTATGCCACAGAAGGGGAGAGGGTACATTTCCAGGGAGCTTCCTGAGTGGGGTAGATCAGGCTGACCCTCCAAGGCACCCACCACAGCACAGGCAGGGGCATGCAGGAAGCAACAGAGAGAAGAAAAAGAAGATGGGGACACATACTGACCCCTAGAAAGAATGTTCTGAAAAAGCTCCAGGGACAGTAAACCCACAGAAATACCAAGTGCAGGGAGAGAGGCTCAAAGTGTTCGCTGTGTGTTTCTAACACATTTCTGTACCATGAAGCTAGAAAAGACTTCCCTGAAGCACATCCAGATCTGTGAGCGTGGGTGTTATACTGCCTCTGAAAAAAAGAAGAAATGGCCCTCCCTGGGCCTGAGCAGCCACCTGGTCTCACAGCAAGTGCACTGAAGCACACACGTGCAACAAGCAAGCTTATCACAAGCACACGCACAGGCAAACATGCCTGCTCAGAGAAAACCGAGACACTCGCAGTGGACGAAAATACACTGTGCAGAGCGAACAGCAAAGAAGGAACTCGCTCAATGTAACCTTCACTCCCATTACTTTACCAGTTTTAGTCTTAAAACCTGAATCCAGACATAGAAAAACCACATGAGGAAACCTTTCAAGGGACTGGCGATTTCAGCACCTGTCACATCAGCGACGTCTCACCAGCCCTGGATTTTGGGGGCTCCTCGCAGCTTCTGCACATTTACCTTTGTTTCTCCTCTCATCTTTGAAGCCCAGTGTGGTGAAGCCTGGGAGCAGCTTGCTGGAGAGCGAGCTCAGGTCCACAGGGTGCGTCTCCTCTTCTGTGGGGGACATGAGAGGTGGGATGGGAGCCACACACTGCAGCTCCACACCTGCAGGAGGAGACCTGGCCTGCCTTGGGACCCCATCTGCTTGTCCACCTGACGGCAGGCCTGCTATACAGTTACACCAGGCATTCCTGACATACCTTAACCCCATGTCATCTCTCTAACCTGAGAGAACATGGGTCTCCTCTCCAGAGTGAACACAAGTGATGAGGCAGTAAATGTAAAGCTGGGGACATGGGGAGTTGCCCGTCTTGGTGAGACAGTGGCAAAGCAGAAACCTGAGCCAGCCTTGGCGGTGTCTGCTCCTGCCTGAGGGTACCTGCGGGTGAACCTCAGACCCAGAGACTGCACATCACAATGCTTCTTCCCAGTGTTCCCACCACCAGCACCCTGCAGCCCCTGAGGAGTGGCCATAATTCTGGCCTTGAGCTGCAGCAGTGGCCGAACCAGTGCCCAGAGTACTTTGACTGCAGGCTCCACTCATGAGGGCACTGCCAAGAGCACACACAGGCGCAAGAGACTGCAGGGCTGCCCTGCTGTCCTTGCAGCTGCATGGATGTTTAACAGGTCTCTGACAATGAGGTCAGAGATGGCCTGCAGGCAGCAGAGTCGGTGGAGTAGGGCAGGCACTCACCATCAGCATCAGGCTCGGCCGCGTTCACCACACTGTACAGCAGGCTCCCATCTCCCAGCTTCTTCAGGTAGCCCATCTGTGAGAAGGGCATACCATGAGCAGGCCCTGTGAGCCACTCAGAGCCCCTCTTGCATGGGGCCTGGAGTAAAGCCTGCCTGCTGCCCACGTGGGCAGTGAGAGCACTGCTCAGGATACCAGACTTCCACACGGTGCTTCTGAAGCAACACTGTTACCCATCCCCAAGGCCAACCAGAGACTGGGTAAGTCCACCAGTGGGCCACACTGCACTCTATCGGCCACCCTGTGAGCTACAAGTACCCAGTGCCAAGAGGACCCCAGGAGAAGAGGCATCCATGTGGGGATGGACATAAAGGACTGTGTGTGTGAGGCAGGAGGTAGGATGCTCACGTTAAGAGTGGCTGTGATGTGGTACACATGAAGGCCTAGACAAACAAGGAGGTACTAAACGTCCTATAGAGGAAGCCTGGCAGCCAGGCCTCCTTCAAGCAGTGGGGTGACAAGCTGGTCAACACGCAGCCCTAGCCACATATGGGCTTCAGTGAGGACACAGCACAATACCCTCATGGTGGCCCTGCCAGTGGGTACCAGGTCCTTATTGAAGAAACGAGGCCAGGAACATGGAACCAACTCGGCCCCTGGCCTAGACACCACTGAGGTGCTCCCACTAGGTCCCCTCGTGCCATGGTGACAAGCAGACTGATGGCTCTGCCTGGTGACAGTCACACAAATGCTTGTGGCCAAGTAGCTACCTTGCCTCCCGGCAGGAACCTATTGATCCTGTCTCTCGCCTCATCAGCTGCGTGCTCCACCAGCGCCAGGACATGCTCCTCTGCGGTGCTGTCCGTCAGGCTGCAGGCGTTGCCTTCCGGCTCAAACATGCAGCTGCAAGGCAAGGGCAAGACGTCACTCGGGGCACTGTACCACAGGTCGCAGGTCGTCGCCAGCTTGGCTTCTACCCACTTCTACCCACATGTGGCCAGCAGCAACTGGGGCAGGCAGGCCCTGACTCCTGTGTCTCTCCTGATCATGACAAGACAGCCCAGCACCTTCCTAATCTCCACAGCTCACTTAACACTTGTCCCCATGAGAACACAAGTAAAGTAATGGATGCTGCTTGGTTTGGGCATTGAAGGTCCCCCAGGAGGAGCAACAGGACTCCACTCCTGGACTGGAGAGGCTCAGCAGTTGCCCCAGGGCCCACAGAGCAGTTTCATTCTTAACAACAAAGGGCTGCTGGCAGAGCACCCAAAGAGACGGCCTCCTGTGGAAGGCAAAAGGGTGGCCGCCCCTCCTCATCCTGGGAGCGGGCCCTGCCCCGAGTGCCCTGCCTAGTCACCCCTGCAGCAATATCCTAGAAATCTGCATGACAAGAAGGTGTTGTGAGCTGTGGGTTCAGGGGCCCCCAGCACCATGGCTGAACATGTGTGGCCTAGGATACGATGCGATGTGGGGTAAACGCCAGTCCTGAGGCCCAGACTGAGATCTAGAGGCTCAGAACTAACACTGCACTTTGCTTTGCCCTCAGGCACTGGATGGTGAGACTATCCGTAGGTTAGGGGACCAGGAAGACCAGAAAGGCCACTGTCTCCTATGTCCATCAGTGCTCTAGTTGAAACAACAGTGGCAGGACAGAGCAGCAGCATGCAGTGGGCATCCAGACCCCCACACCAAACTGTCTATAGGCACCTCTGAGTGAAATGCTGACAGGACCCCATGACAGGGTCCTCGTGGTTTCGGGCTGGGCAGCAGCTGGTCTGGGAAGGCATTCCAGCCCAGGCCGCATGCAGCTCCCGCTCTCCTGTGCAGCACGCCTCCTGCACACCTTACCTGATGACTTCTCTACTTGGCTTTTTGGATTTCTTGGCAGTTTCTACTTGCACTGGGACAACCTCAGGAACAGGCTCCTCAACGGCCGTGTCCTCGCTGCCCAAGAGAGCCGCCTGCTGAGAGAAATCCATGTCCTGCATAAACGACATGCTGCGCTTCAGAGCTAACAGCCGCTCCTAGAATCAGAAAGGAAGAGCAGCAGGACTTTACCTCTCCCTCCGCCATGGAGCCTGCCGATGGCATGGGATGGATGGCCACACCTCCCTGCCTGACCAAGTGCCCAAGAGCTGCCGTGGCTGCCATGGGGCTTGGTGTCAAAGGCATAGCCCAGTGCTGCAGGGGGCAGCCAGACGTTGGCAGAGGGACAGCAGGCAGCCTTGTCTGCAGGAGACCCACTCAGGATGGCCAGGAGGACAAGCATGTGCCACCTGGGTTCCAGGAGGCTGCCATGAAACAAACCCGCAGGATGGGCTTCAGCAAACATGACCCACAGACCCAGTACTTTCCAGTCCTATGAGAGGCAGCATGTGAGCCACAGGCAGGGACAGAGGCAGTGCCTGAGGAGAGGGCGGCCCTGGAGCCGGAGGTTAGCCCAGGGAGGGGCATGAATGGAGCATGTCATTCACATGAGTCTGATGGGCACAGAAAGTCAGAACACAACTGTGGCTCTCTGGCTCTCTGTGTTAGTAGGTTTCTTACTTTGCTCATCATCTTAAAGCCTGCATGGAGAATCTTCTTGGCTAACTTGTAGTACACAGTGTCTGGTCTATTGTAGGTCATTGCATTATCACACATCAGTTTGAAATCTGCCTGAGAAGAAACAAAAGGATTGCATCAAGTTTGAGGTGCTACGCACACAACTGCATGGTTCTCTGTTCCTGTCAAGAGACCAAAAGGGAAGGGCTGAAACTGAGTGGGAAAGAAACTTAGCTCTTTTATCTTAAAGCAACTTTTAAGAATTCAAGAAATTTTGAAGTTGTTCACAAGTCAATTATGTGAAAAGTTTTCCAGGGAAAGGCTGGTCATTGCCTCTGACTTTTGAGCATAACACACGTATTCATGAGAAGACGAACGTATCTATACTGCTTCCTCCAAATACCTTCTTGTATGTAAGGACAACCTTACCAACAATTTGGGGGCAAAGTGAATCCCTTGAAAAACACTGGTACTTAATTATCACAAATTTCTCAGCAATGCCTCCAGCCAGCAAGCTGGGCATCAGTATGGATGCAGCCCCTGCGTCTTGAGTGCCCTAACCTTGTCACTGTTCTGGGCCCTGCAGGGGCCCTGCAGGGAGGCCATGGAGCACAGGGCCTTCTCTAGTTGTGAACATGTGGTGGAGGGGACACTGTTCACCTCCTGGGTCTGTCACTCACGGTGACATGTTGGGGCCACAACTAGGAAACAGGACCTGGTGCAAACTGCTTAGTAAGCTGCCTCTGGCCTTGACTGACTGTTGTGTTATTTCTGAGTCAGTAAATTCTTCAGTAAAAGTCTCCACCAAACATGAACAGAAAGACAGCTTTTCCAGAATCACTCAATCCAAGAAAAAAGACTAATGCCCCCTCTTAACCCTAATGCCAACATCACCAAGCATGTCTTGCCTTATGCCCGCCTGCCAAGCCAGTGAGTGCTTTCTAATTCGCTTGGCCAGAACCAAGAAGCAGAATTAAAAGTAAAGCAAGAAATACAAATATTCTAAAAATAATAAATTAAATGTCTAGGTTTTACAAGTGAAGAATTGGGAAAATGACACTTCTAGTAATACCCATTCCTGAGCCATGCCAGCCAAACTGACCTCCACCTGCACAGTAACTTCAAAAACAAGATAGGAGGAAACTCACTGGAAAGAGGACACAGCCCACAGTCCAGCTCCTACACAAAACACACTGGCTCAGGCTGGGGATTTAGCTCAATGGCGTAAGTGCCTGCCTGGCAAGTATAAGGTCATGAATTCCATCCCCAGTAACAAAAAAAAAAAAAAAAAAGAAAGAAAGAAAGAAACAAACAAACACACGGGCTCAGCCCATGTCTTCCATAATGTAAGAACGATCACTCACACACAGAGCTGCCACCTGTGAGCGCTTACAATGGCAAACACTGGAGGCAAAGGAAATGTTTACCAAACACACACACACACACAACTGTGTCACAGCTGTTTCAGAAAACGAAATTTAAAATCAAAGAAATTAATTTACCTTAAATTCTGTGACTGACTTGTACTCATTAGCTATAATTTTGTCTTTCATTGTGCCAAAATCCATGGGATGTTTTATTATCATTGAATATCCAGGAGCAATTGCATCCGTCACAGGAAAAGCAAAAAATCCATGAGGATCTTTTCTGAAAGCAAAGACAACTTTAAAATGGGACATTCTAAAAGTCTAGATTTTGAAGTGACACAAAATCTCCTACAATCTAAAATGTAATACAACTAACCAAGTTTTAATTTTGCTTCTTTAAAAAATAACAACATGAATGCCTTTTTAAGCTTGCTGTAGGTGTTTGGATGTGATAAACACAGTGTCCAGACTCCAGCCTTGATAAGCAAAGCCAACACAACTCTGCTATCTGCCTTCATCCACTGGTGACCACCTCCAGGGCACAAGGTGAGGTATCCATGGTCCTCCTGCCTGACCCAGCTAGGAAGCCCTGGCTTTTGCTTCCCGGAGCTCATTTGCCCCAGTGAATGGTGCTACCCACTCAAAATGAAGCCTGTGTCCCAGGGGATGAGCTGGGGTGAGAGTGACACCTCAGCAAAGGAAGGTGACACCTGACAGGTCCCCGGAAGGCCCCTGCAAGCAAGGAGGAGGCATACCTCTGAAGCTGGCGGAGGAAGTGCTCCAGGAGCTGCTGAATAGGTGTGCTCTCATTCTCCGCTGGCAAATTAAAAAGAAAGCAATGAAGTCAAAGTTCAGCAGAAAGAATTTCAATTTCAAATCTTAGTTATGCTTGGCATTGCACATCAAGCACAACCTATGACACAACTCCTGTGAATCGTGGAGGGTGGGAAAGGCTCTAATCCCAAAGGCTCTCGATTCCCCCTGGGAGAATCAGCTGTTCCCAACTCCCACCACCATCAGGCTGGGTGTGTTCTAGGAAAGGTATGGCAGGAACAAGGCTTGGACACACAGGCTGTCCCTGGATCCCCTGGTAATTAATTCACTAAACAAAGAGACCATTCAACCTCTGGCTGTGCCCCTGGTCCTCATGTGTGGAACGGGGATACACTGACACACCACACAGGGGCTCTAGCTGCCAACTTCCTCTTTGGCCCACCATGATACTCTTGACGGACCAGAGTCTACCCAAAACCACCAGTCACCACTAACTGAGGTATCTCCAGGGTCTGCGATAGATGCACAACATCGAATGGGCAGTTAGGCAGACCAAACTGGCAACTTTCAGTAACTGTGCTGACTCTGCAGACAGATCTGTTTGACTCTTGTTTTGTGTCTGACCTTACTTACCAACAGCTCCAGGAACCACCCTGGGTGCTGCTGTTCACCATGGCAATGATCTGCACAGGGAGAGGAGGCCCCAGGCCTCCCCATAGGTCAGCAGCAGCACTTCCCACCAGCCTCCTCAAATCAGAGGGGGTCAAGCTCACAATCACAGGAAGATACTCCAGAGAGAAAAGTGGCCACAGAGACCAAGAAGTCATGAACACTGAAAGACTTTCTTATAGGTGAGCCAGCACATGCACGTGGCTTCTGATGGCAGGAATACCCGATTTCAGCTCTAGCCTCCCTCTGGTCTCTCCCTGATATTCTATATTCCAACCCTATGCTGTCTTGATTTCCCTTGCCACCTGGGACCCAAGAGACACTGCAAATCACTCGGGGGAGATAAGGCTTGCCTGAAGCACAAAACCTCGGCATGGCAGAACCTATGTAGGAAGTGTGGGGCCAGCAAGACTGCAGTTGTGGGCAACACTAGCAGTAGAAACTCTACCCAAATGCCTCAGCAGAAGGTACTCAAGAGACAAATCTCACAGAGGACTCCAGCGTCCTTTATTCCCCCTTATAGTCACTTGAAAGGATTCCAGACCCCTGCTCTAGATAAAGGTAGGAACCACACGTTCAGGGAACACCAATACAAGTATAGAGAGGGCACAGGTGTAGACCCTGGAGCCACATGCGTCTGACCACAGTGAGCTCTGAGACTGCTCTTGCCTGGCTGTGTCCGGCATGCTCGCACAGGCCTGTCTGGGGGTGGCTCCACCTCCACCTTCTTCCCAGGGTCGAAGTCTTCAGCTTCGCCCTCCGTGTCACAGTGCTCTTTCTCCCGCTTACGCTTCTTCTCTTCCTGTAGAATCAGAGAAATGAGAGGCAGAATAGCTGGGGTGTACCTCGACTGGACCGCACCCTCAGAGGTCCCACAGGTGCACTCACACTGGATGGCACCTCCCTGCCCTCCCACAGCCCTCTCTCCTGGGGACCCCTCTGCGTGCCTCTGCTGCTGGATCCCCACTAAAGGGACAGAGACAAGGAAAGAGACCCTGGCCAGGTGGCAGCTATCCCCCCCCCCTTACCTTGCGCTTCCTCCTCTCCTCATCGTCGAGGTGCTTTTCCTTCTCGGCCTTCTTTTTCTTTTTCTTTTTCTTCTCCCGGTGCCTCTCCCGCTCATGGTCCGACCTGTCGTCGTAGTAGCTGGAGTCGTGGCCGGACCCCGAGAGCTCGGTCACTTCACTGCCGCCGACCTTGAGGACCAGCTTTAGCGGCTTCTCCAGCGGCGCGTCCGCGTAATCTGCACACAGACAGAAGCACATCACTGTCAGGGGCAGTCGCGCGACCTGGGGCTGACAGGCGCGGAGAACCGCGCCAGGAGGCGTGAGTCACCTCCCGATCCCGCCCCAGCCGGCGGCCACACCCCGCGATCCAGCCCCTCGCGTCGGACCCCGCCCGCCCCTTCGGCCCTGCTGCGGGTTCCGTTGGCCACACCCTCGTAGGACGAACGCCACTCGGCTTTGTGCTTCTTGTGCTTTTTTCCCATGCTTGTGACGGCAGACGCGGGTTACAGATCCGCGGAAGCGCGGCCGCCCGACAGCCGGTTTGCGCCCGTCGGAAATGACCGCGCTGCCGCCGAGCGCTTCCGGTCGGGGGGGGCGGTGCACCGATCACTTCCGGATCAAAGGGCGGCGCGGCGCGGGCGGCTGATTCAAAACGTACTAGGGCGGGGCGGTGCCAAGCCGAAGTACCCGGCGGGCAGAAAGGGGCTTCGACAGAGCTCCTGCCGGGTCCGCGCGGTTCCAGAGCGGCGGCGGCGGCGACAGCAACATGGACGAGGCGGTGGGCGACCTGAAGCAGGCTTTGCCCTGCGTGGTCGAGGGGCCCGTGGTGCACGTGGAGGTGCTGCAGCGTGGCGGCAGGTGAGCGGCGTGGGCGCGAGGGCGGGCCTGACCCGGGAGCAGAGTCCGGCAGGAGGGGCGGCGAGGGGCCAGGGCCAGGGTCAGGAGGGGCGCAGGCGGGAGAAGTAGGGTTGGAGGAGCTGCCACGAGGGCTTCGGGGCCGGTGCGGCCTGGGGGACCTGCCCTTGGGAGCCGCTGTGTTGGCTTCCTGTGCTCCCGCAGCCCTGGCTAAGGGCAGGCCTGGTGAATAAACACGGAGTACGTGGCTTCGTCTTCACAATAGCCCAGGGTAGCTGGAATCCTAGTGTCGCCCTTCCTGGGGAGCAGAGGGCGGTTCCTGGAGGTTGCAGAGCAGGCTATGGATAGCAGCTGGCCCCGGATTGGATCCCTAGGTGGGCTTTGATCTGCAGTTCTTAGCTCACAAATTTCTTGTGTATGATCTCAATTTAAAGTAACTTTAAAAAAAAAAAGTAGATCTTTTGTATGTGTTTTATCTTTTCCTAGCACTGCCAAAAAAGAAGACATAAAGTTAAGTGTTCGAAAGTTGCTGAACAGGCATAATATTGTGTTTGGCGATTACTCATGGACGGAGTTTGATGATCCTTTTCTGAGCAGAAACGTGCGGTCTGTGTCTATTGTTGACACAGACCTAAAAGTTAAAGAGTCTCAGGTAACTTACTGATTTTGAGGTGCCAGTTCACCAGAACTGGTATCATGATTGTCACTGCTTGAAAAGTGTATTTGTTGTTTGCTTGCCTCTTGGTTCGATTGTGGATCAATTCAGGCTGTCTGTTCTGGAGCTTGGTGCTGGCATGAGACTCGGCCCGGCTGTCAGGACACTCTGAGTGGAGCAGAGGTCAGACTGGAACCCAAGGGTTGGAATGCAGCATGTACAGTAGTGTGCTGGATTGTTGAGGCCTGCGTACCTGTCACTGTCAGCTAAGTGGTCCTGAAAGTCTTGGCGAATGTGTTAAGGCTGCAGGAAGTGTGTAGGTTACAGAGGCGAGATGGGCTCCCTCTCCCGAAGCTCTTTGTTGCCTCCTGTACGTGGACTGCGTGCTCTGCTGCCTTTCTGAGCCCATGTGTGGGAGCTGGGGTCTGCCTGAGAGCTGAATGAATTGGCACCATTCTGCTACCAGCACAAGAATAATCAAAAATGTGTCCCAAGGGAAGAGCATCACTCAGTACTGTATGGATTGCCACTTCAGACAGTAGTGGCTTGGCACTGAAATTTTGCTTATGACACGTACTTCCTCGTATGTCTTTTAAGACTATGACATAGTAAGAGTCAACGCCATCATCCTTAGTTTCAGCCAACCTCAGGTAAAAGGAAAAGCCCTGCACAGCCTAGCACAGCCTGACTGGAGGATTTAGGGCTGGCCGTGAAAAGGTTTTTTTTTTTTTTTGTACCGGGGATTGAACTCACGACCTTATGCTTACCAGGCAGGTGCTTACACCACTGAGCTAAATCCCTAGCCATGAAAAGTTTTGATAATCTTGTTTTGACTGAAGATTCACCCATAGGAATTTATCTAACTAATAGCTGTACCACTCTGTAGATTTACACAGTTGAATGTTTGTTGTGTATTGTTAACACCAATGATATGAAATATCTTGCACCATTTACCAACTTAGGTATAGGCTAAACGAATCTGATACATTTATTTTAAATAGGATGTAGCCATTAAGAAAAGAGCCAGATTTCTATCTACCAAAGCAAGTATGTTTCCAAGCTACATTAAGAAATACGTATGGAAATTATTGACTAAAACCTAAAACTAAAACCTAAAAACTCAAGGATTAGCTAGTAGAAAATAAGTATAACTTCAAGGAATATATAGTAGTATCAGAATTGTGATAGCAGATACAACCTTACATAGAAGTATACATAGGAACCACTAATTTTCAGGGAACAAGATTTGCCTGTTTCGATATCTACTCAAATTTTGATTTCCTTTTCTTATGTTATTATTTTTCTGGTTCTTGGGATGGCAGATAGTTTTCTACTAAATCCTGAGTATGTATGGAAGGCCTGTTGGTTATCTGTTCTGCATCCAACCAGGTCCCCATGGCAACACAGGCAAGAATGGGGTGCCAACTCACTAGATGTCGGAGACATGTAAGGAACAAACAGGCATCACAAGAGTGGACTTCCCATCAGGCTCGCTGTCGCTGAGGAAAGAAAGAGACAGCATCTCAAATCTGTTGTTGCTTGGGGAGGCAGAAGCTTGGTGTCCCACAGGCTCTAAGTGCCCTGTGGGAGGAGGAAAGCAGGGTGCCTGGCCCCCACCTCACGCTGCCTTATTGGTGTCAAGTTGGTGGGGGCTCAATTCCCCATTGGGTAGCCCCTCGTTCTCTAGTAAGAGAGACATGGATTTCTTATGTACATGATTATATCTATAGCCAGCCAGGCAAATCACAAACTAAGACTGAATCACCTTATAGTACCAGCAAGTTGATAGAAATATGAAAGGCCGGACATGTCAGATGGAAACAGGAGCCCACCTGAATTAGCTCCAAGTGGACAAAGTCAAACAGTTGTACCAATAGAAAGGATGATGAGTTAGTGTTGGGTCGTAACCCAAGTGTATCTCAGTCTATAGTGATACACATAAGTGAATGAGAGGGGGAAACAAAAGTTCTTTAGAGGATATTTTCAAATTCTGTATGTAGGTCTCCTTCACAAGGTAGCACCTCATCTCCCCCAACCAGTCCTAAGTGTGGCCCTCGCTGTCCTACTTCCAAGCAATGAACTGTGGGAAGGCTGCCTGTAACTAAGTAAGCAGGGCTAAAATTGTCATCAGTCATGTTGTGATCCGAGGTAGGGATCCAAGGTAGGGAGCGGCCCTTCACCTCTGGTGCAGTTGAAACTTGATGTCGTGGTCTACTCTTGAAAAAAAGGAAAGCAAAACATATGATCATTCCAACGAGGATAGTCCAAAAGATAATCAACTACAAAAAACAAGATGGGAAACTACAAGGTATCCTTGACACATACAGTCATTGGTAACTCATTTTTTGCACACACCTCAACCATATTTTTGGATTTAACGGCTAATCAGCTGGAATTGAAAAGAGATATTTTGAGATATGTGGATTTACTTGCTTTCCGTCTCATTTCCAGCCTATTGATCTGAGTGCCTGCACCATTGCTCTGCACATCTTCCAGCTGAATGAAGATGGCCCCAGCAGTGAGAATCTGGAGGAGGAGACGGAAAACATCATCGCAGCAAATCACTGGGTTCTGCCTGCAGGTATCAGGGCAGACAGGGTGCAGGGCCACTGAGGAGGGGCAAGGTCAGGGGGTTGTTTGCCAAGTCAGTTCACTGAGGAGTTCTCTCTGGGACGGTTGTAGCGTGTCTTATCTTTCATGAAATGAAAAGTATATTGCTGTTAGCTTTCTGTTACCATAATAAATGGGGTGATCAGCTGGTGGATCTTCATGCCTGGCTGCTTGTTGCTGCCCACCACATATTCTGGCAGGGCACATGGCAGAGGTGGGTTCACTTCATGCCTGCGTGGGCAGGACAGCAAGGAATCCATGTCTCATTGCACTGGTGAGGCCACAACCCATGACCTATGACCTTCTACTTGGCCATACTTCTTAAAGCTCCCATCGCCAGCCAGTGGTGCCAAGCTGACAAACCATTAACATGTGGGTCTTGGGGCACAGTCCAGATCCAGGAGCAGCAGGTTCCAGGAAGGAAGTGGAGCCTTCCAGGATGAGTCATGTGCGTGTGGGCACCTGGGAGGTGATGGCCTATGGAGAGTGCTGTGCTGGCCTCGCAGCTGAGCTGTCTTCCGCTCTCTATTTTGCTTTGGCTTTTGTTTTGAGCAGTACTAGAGATTGAACCCAAGGCCTTTACAATGAGCTGCATTCCCAGCCTTATTTTTCTTTTTGGTTTTTCGAAAATAAGTCTCACTATATAGTGTAGAGTGGCTTTGAACTCATTGTGTAGTCCAGGCTGGCCTCAAACTTACAGTGATCCTCCTGCCTTGTCCTTCCAAGTGCTGGGGTTACAGATGTGCACCTCTATGCCAGGCCTTTAGATATAGAATGTACTTAAGAGTGGAATGTAGTTGCACCAGCCTATCTATTTATTTTTATTTTTTGGTGATAGGGTCTCCCTAAGTTACCATTTTGCACAAGCTGGCCTTGAATTTGTGGTCCTGGAGTACCGGGATCATGTGCAGGCCCTACCATGTCCTGTTCCTCCTCCTGCTTGCTCCATACTTCTTTAGGGGCTTTGCTGGTGGGCTCCAGGTGGTGGAGGTTGGGTTAATTCTGCTGTTAAGCTCAGCCACCACACAGAGAGAGTTCTGTTAAAGCACAGGCCTGGGACAGAAAATTGTACATGGTAAGGAGATGTTAAAAAAAATTACTTCACTTAACTACCTGTCAAAAGTCACATAACTGCCAAGGGTTTAGTTTATAACTGCCTGCCCTGGCAAGCGCAAGATTGAGTTTGATTCCCAGTACAAAAAAAAAAGCATTATTTTTTGCTGGGGATTTAGCCTAAGCACCTGCCTTGCAAGCGTGTGGTTGAGTTTGAGTCCCCCCGTACCCCACTCCCAAAAATACACTGAACAAAAGTCATGTAACTGATATTTACACTTTTAGCTTTTTTTTTTTCTTTTCTCCAAATTCTTGATCTTAAATACACCTGTAGTTTTAAGAAACATTAAAATTTGAAGACAGTTGTACAGGCTGTGCATATGCTATGTCAGAACCGCCATCTCCATATGGGGTGGTGGGAGACCCCATGCGGGAGTGTGATGCCTGCCTTTCTAAAAGTAGGCTTTGCTGTTTTCCTTTCCTTGTAGCTGAATTCCATGGACTTTGGGACAGCCTAGTGTATGATGTGGAAGTCAAATCACATGTAAGTGACTGTGGTTCTCCTCAGAGTGTCCTGTTATTTAAAGAAGAATCAGTCTCATGCACTCTAGTACCTTTGAATCCCTTAATTCAGGAGCCTTTGGGACTTCAGTCCACCAGCAGCCCATGTTGTGGACACCTGTCCCCAAGGTTGCCCTAACATGGAGCCAGTCTCTGGGAAAGAAGGCACAGAACTGGCCAGTGAAGACAGCTTCACTGGCCTCGTGAGCGTTCTGGGCTTGAGGCCGCACCAGGGATGTTGAAGGAGAGACAGTGGGCAGACCCAGAGGAGGACCTGCATCCTGCCCCTGCGGGGGTACACCTGAGACTGCCCTCGCCTCCCGCGCTCCCCACAGTCCTGACTGGCGTGCTGCGTGCCGGCTGTGTTGCAGCGGTCTGGAGGAGGAGCTGCTCTGTACCTAGGAGTCCCTCAGGCACTTTGTTAATGTTGGCACTTTAAGTGAAAGCAACCGTTTGTTTCCTTTACTTTTCAGCGGTGGTTGCCAATACCTGTCCTCTTGCCTTTTGAGTTGCCTTCTAAAATGGAGGCCCAGGAGGCAGTCACTGAGTGCTTGGCAGTGATGCCCCTCCTTGGGTGGCTCTGTCCCACCCTGCCCCTTGGACAGCCGCACAGTCTCGGGAGCGCTGTCTTGGGTACCTTCATCTGCATTCTCTTCTCAACCAGCTCCTTGACTACGTGATGACGACCCTACTGTTCTCAGACAAGAACGTGGACAGCAATCTCATTACCTGGAACCGTGTGGTGCTGCTGCATGGTGAGACTAGACAAGTGGCTTGAAGTTCAGCTTTTCCTTGTGTCTGTATTCCTGCAAGAAGTCCCAGCGATGTGTTCTACAGGTGCCAGCGTTGTCCTAGAATGTCCTTTTCTGTGACTGTCATCTGCGTCACAGTGCCTTGTCAACTGACTTTCCTTTGACAGCTAGCGATTTCTGCCTGTGACTATTTATAGTAAATGACCACTTTATTTCACTAACTGATGGGAATCCCTTAGGTAGAAACTGCTTTGTGTTGTAGTCCCTTTTTTTATAAATATCAGGAATTGAACTCAGGACCTTGTGTTTGTCAGGCAGGTGCTATTCCACCAAGCTGTATTCCTGGCCCCCTGTGTTGTATTCCTCATCTTCATTTAGTGAGAATGGACTACAAAAGCTATGTTTTAAAAGAAATTTAGTCAGGCTCTCTCAGAAGGAAATGATGTTGGTTTGCCTTTATTTCTGGTCACTAAGGTCCAGCCACTGCCCACCTAACGGCAAGGCAGAGGCTCCAGGTAATTGGCTTCTGCCTACAGAGTGAGACTACACTGTTGTCCCTGGCATGGCGTGCTAGCAGCAGGATCAGAGGGGCAGTCATCAGTGAAGAGAATTGTTAGGAATCATCTCAGTTACTGAAAGCACTTGTGGAACAGCGGGGTGTTCTAACAGTGTGTTCACTCCATCCTGTGGACACCTCGGCCTCCTGGGCCCTCATCTGGGCACTGACGGGTGAGGAGTGTACGGGAAGGGCCTGATTTTGGCTGCTGGGCTGGTGACCTGTCCATTACCCCAAGAGATGGGTTCTGTTGGCTCAGTCTCAGGTTTCAGTCGGTGGCAGGTTGGTCCCGCTGCTTGTGGGCTGTGGCAGCGTGGTAGGAGTACGTGGTGGGCCAGAGCACTATGTCATGGCCAAGAACTAAAAGAGTAACAGGAAGGAACCAGTCCCACACCCCGCTTCGTGAGTCTTCTGAGACGTGAAAACAGTCACCGGTCAGGGGTCAGGCTCACAAGTGTGCCTCACACGAGCGTTGCTGACCCGTGCTGTGGCACTGCCTGTGTGACGTAGCACAGGGGCCACCCATTTAGCACCATCTGCAGCTGGAGGTGGGGCGCTGTGGGGTTGCAGCAGCGGCCCTCATCAGGTGGCATCCCACACTCAGTCCTGATGAAGGTCTCCGTGGCCTTCAGAAGGTGCCTAGGCAGGTAGGTTTCGTAGAGGAAGTGAAACAAGGACAGTGTCGCCAGGCTGTAGACCGGAAAGCTGCTGAGCCTGGCTAGGGCAGGAGATAAAAATACATTAGGAAAGAAAGAAGACTTGCTAAAGCATGCCGATAACGTGTTATGGCCTTTAAGGTCTTCGTAGACTTCCCTGTAGGTTCACAAGCAGTATGTATTGTAAGAACAATAGCTTTTAACTGTGTTTCGTATTTTGTTTGTGGATAAGCAGCTACTGCTGTTTCGGCAGCAGTACTACAGCCCTGGCTCAGGGACGCCTTTGCTTGGCTCTTGTTACAGGTCCTCCGGGAACTGGGAAGACCTCCCTGTGCAAGGCCTTGGCCCAGAAACTGACCATCAGACTGTCCAGCAGGTGACCGGTGACAGGACAGCACGGGAATGGGACTTGTGATGTGTGAAGTTTCACTTTTGATTGCTTTATACAGTAGTGGGTTCCTATCCTCCCAGCGCAGTCTTGAGTTTGAGCTCAGAACTTACGGAGCCTTGGTCTGCGGCAGCCTGTGTCTTCCTAGGGATGTCTAGGTATACTGACAAGGGTGTGGCATGGTGCTGGGTGGGTCCTGTGCACAGTGACCTGGCTGGCCCAGTGGTCTTACTAGGCGAGGAGTGCTGGCCTCTCTTTGCTCTATCCGTCCCTCCTTGAGTTCTTTCTGCGTCTTAAGGTTTTCGTTTTCATCGTTTTGGGAAAGTGATTGGTTGTTATTCTTCACCTGATTTCCATGCCCCCTGTTTCCTGGCCTCTGTTCATTGGCATGTGTGCCTGCTCTGTCTCGTTCCACGAGCCACTGATGTGTTTTTTCATTTTTATCAGATATATTTCGCTTTGAGCAGTGTCTGTTGCTGCATTTTCAAATTCATCATTTTCTGTAGTGTCTAATCTGCTTTGAATTCTATTCAGTGGGGTTTTTATTTCTGGTAGGATGTTTCTCTGAAGATTCCATTTGCTTTTTTTGTCTTTCTTTTCTGTCTTTCTTGTCATAGCATTGTGTCTCTCTGTTTCTGTTGACTAACTTAGCTCTGCTTTGGGGTCTTTGTTTTTCCATTCTTGGCATTCAGAGGACTTTCCCTGAATGCTGAAGGTGGTGGCTTGAAGTGCCGGGTGTCGAGGCTCCGAAGTCTGTGGTCCTTTTTCTCTGCACTAAGCCAAGGGCTAGGGTTTCGTCTTGTCTTTACACCGAAAGAACGTTGCCTGGGTCTGCATGGAGCACAGAGATGAGGAAGCAGTATTCTCTGATATTGGCCGTGAGGCTCTGCCCTGCCCGAGGAGCTCTTAGATGTCTAGACCTTTTCCAGCACTGCAGATTCTCCCGCTCACCTGCCTTACTGTTCAGCAGACACGGGTCCCGTGCTGCTTTCCAGAAAGGCTTGGTCCAATCTCCTTCTCTGGAGCTCTGCCCCACATCTCCCTGCTGCCCCTGCTCCCTGAGCTGGTCTGTTCGCAGCTCAGCAGGGGCGGTACAGGTAAGCTCCCTCAGTGCAGTGGCCAGGCTCCCTGGCTCCTCTTTCAGGGCCATGGCCTCCACTGCCTGTTGACCAGTCCTGAGCAGCGTGGCTTTGTAGACCTTGTCCAGGGTGAGTCTGGAGCCTGACACCAGTAGGAAGAGGACATCTGAGATTACTGTTAGATCTGTTTTCTTTCTTTTCTAAATGTTTTTGTATTTTCACATAAGCAGATTGCTTTTTTTTTTGGTCTTTTTGCGACAGGGTCTCTCTATGCAGTTCAGGCTGGCCTTGAGCTCACTTTGTAGCCCAGGCTGGCTACTCACAACGATCCTCCTGCCTCAGCCTCCGAGTGCTGGGATTACAGGCGTGAGCCACCACTCCTGGCTCAGATTGCTTTATTTTTATCTTTATGTTTAGTTTCTTGACCTTTTTTTTTTTTGCTTTACTGAAATACATCTGCTTTAAAAATCTCTAGGGGCAGTTTCCTAAAACGTCAGAGAGGAAAGAAATAAGAAGCGTAACTTTTTTCAATTCCAAGACCCGAAAACCTGTATTTAATGGCTTGGAAATGGTAAAAAGGAGCCTTTGTTTTTTATCCTATTAAATAATTACAGTGTCAGTTAACTTTGTTTAATATTCAGCCTCGTCTTTTTTCTACTACCCCTTGATAAACAGTTGCTGTGATCTGTCTTCGTCTTGGTTTTGAATGGGATGCCAGGGACACTTTCCAAAAGCAGTTCTGCAGAGAACTGTGGCCTGAGGAAGCCAGCTGCTCTCAGCTGGTCCTCTTTCCTACTGGACTTGGCCTGGGCTGCATGTGCAAGCCCTCGCCCCCACCCAGGCAGCAGTGGCATCAGGGTGGTCTTCTGCACCGGCGCCCAGGGCTGTGGTCTGCTGGACGGTGCACTGCCACACTTGGTGTTTCATGGAAGGGGGAGGAAAATGCTGGGCTCCTGCCAAAGTCTCTTAATGCCTCAGGGTTCTTGTTTGTTATATTGTGATTCTTTTTAAACATAAAAATATAAAGTACAAGTAGATTAACTTGGGTGAATTTTTACTCTTTAATTCAAACAGAGCTGTGGGAAAGCTTTGCAGTAATCTAGAGCTATTAATTGCCTCTCGTTAAGTTTCTCGAAGTTACTGACTCCCCGAGCTGTGTGCCTGGGTCCTTTGGGAATCTGTGGTGACATACTGCACTAGGTTCCTCAGCAGAGATAGGGTGTGCCTGCCTCTGAGGGTGGCCAGGGTCTGAGCAGTGGCACAGTTTTCTTACCCATTTTTATCATCGTAGGTACCGGTATGGCCAGTTAATTGAAATAAACAGCCACAGCCTCTTTTCCAAGTGGTTTTCAGAAGTGAGTATCAAGTGTCCTTATGTCTAGACTGCCAAACAGGCACTTGGAAAATCAGTGTCCTGTGCATGAGGTGAATGCTCTAAATACAAAAGGTCGCAGCAGTGAGTGAAAATGCGAAGGTGACGGGGCTGACTACTCAGTATGGGGGGAGGTCGGCTTGGGGGCCTCTGTTAGTCACACCGAAGCCCTGTAACAGGTGGGGCGGGATCTCTAGCTGACAAGAGCAGGCGCTGGGTCCCGCATGCTTGCTTATGTGGACTGGGGACTGCACAGTCCAGCAGGGAATGTGGTAGGTGCCCTCACGTCCGGAGGGCAGTGCCGAAGGTGCCTTGCATCAGTTTGTCCCTATGGTAAGTGTCCAGGCCAGGGATGGGCATCAGGTGACAGGAGCATCTACAGGATGTGTGCAGGGGGCTGCTGCCTCTCAGTCCTGATCATTTGGTTCCTGCAGCAGGGTGAGCATCTAGGCTGACCTCACAGGCCGGCCCAGCTCCTCTGACCCAGGGGACCTACTGAGGGGCTCATGGTGCCCACTGCACTGCAGCATGTGGACTGCAAATCAGCACTGAGCAAGGTTTTGTTGCAGAGCGGCAAGCTGGTAACTAGGATGTTCCAGAAGATTCAGGACTTGATTGATGACAAGGAAGCACTGGTGTTCGTGCTGATCGACGAGGTGGGCACCTGTCGGTAGTCGGCCTGTGACTGGGTTGTCCCTTGCTGTTGCTGCCCCTCAGTCAGTCTTGCTGCCATCTGCTCTGCCACAGGACCCCTTACCTGACACCCCCATGCTGTGCTCCCACAGGCAGTTGATTGATTGTACCACTTGATTCCTGTACCTGCCCGTGAGGGATGAACCACTAATCTCTTTGACCTGTCACTCTGCCAACAGGTAGAGAGTCTCACAGCTGCTCGGAATGCTTGCCGGGCAGGTGCAGAGCCATCAGATGCCATCCGTGTGGTCAATGCAGTCTTGACCCAAATTGATCAGATTAAAAGGTAAGGCTCTGATGGGCATCGACAAAATGGATTTGACACTGAGTGTTGAGTGTCTCCCTGCTGCAGTAAATTCTTAGAAATGTTCTTTAATTCATTAAGTTACATGTAAAACAGGATGTGGGCATAGTACACTTCACAGTGCAAGAATACGTAAGATAAAAAACCCACGGCTGCGTCGGGCATTTGTGTCAACATTACTGGTGCTGATCGGAGTTGAGGCTGCTGCCTGCTTGCCCAGCTGCTTGAGAGCAGAAAGTCCTGTGTGGTCATACTTCATGTCCTATTCTGCGGGTGTAGGGCCTGCTCTCTGTACTACAGATGAGCAGGTTTCAGGGTGATTGCTGCTCTCCCACCCCAGGGACGCACAGCAGACAGAACCCCAGCTGCTCCTGTGTAGCCTCCAGTAACTGCTAATCTGTATTCTCGTGCTACTGCTCCGAATTTCCTTCTGCCTCCAGGGTTTGGGGCGTCTCTCTGGAGCCAACCTGTGCCGTGGGGTAGGGCAGGGGACTGGCCTGCCGAAGGATATTTTCTGCAGGCCAGTTCCGTCTGCACCCTGCCCCTCTGCCCCAGGTACCTGACAGGGTCAGCAGCCAGAGAGGGTCAGCCCCAAAAGGGCTCTGTCCTAGGCTCGCCCCTGCTCACCCACAGAGGGGCTGTCTGTCCCTGGGGGCTCTGCTTTCACAGTTTCCTGTGCCACCACAGGCCCAGTAGGACAGCATAGTCGTGTCCTCTACACTCAGGCTACTCAGGGCCTGTAGGAACCAGTGCCCAATCTGCTGGCTCATCCTAGCCGTGGGGGACGTTGGTAAGCACAGCAGACTGCTGGCTGGCCGTGGAGTTAGAAGCTGAGGGATAAGTCAGTACTGCAGCATCCAGGGTGATGAGCTGTGTGACTTGCTCAGGCTGGGGTGGTAGTAGGTGCCAGGATGCTGCACGAGGGTGAGGTCTGCATCAGAACTGAAGGAGGTGAGAAAGTAGCCGTGGAGAGCAAAGTGAGCTTTTAGAAGGCAGAGAGTGACCATAGCTAGCACCCGGGGCGGGGGGGGGGGGTTGCAGCCAGGAGAGCCCTGTGGGGCTGGATCAGTGGGGCCATGGTGAGGCCTTGCAGCTCTGGAAGGCAGCTGGGCCACAGAGCACGGTCACCTGAACAAGGTGGCCGAGCTTCCCAGGGGCCGTCCCTCCTGTCCCTCACCAGAGAGGGTGGCATATTAGTGCCCAGGTGTATGGTGCCTGTGTCCCTGCCCCTTGGCCACACAGGCATTCCAACGTGGTGATTCTGACTACCTCCAATATCACGGAGAAGATCGACGTGGCCTTCGTGGACAGAGCTGACATCAAGCAGTACGTCGGGCCGCCCTCGGCAGCAGCCATCTTCAGGATCTACCTCTCCTGCCTGGAGGAGCTGATGAAGGTACCTGCCTGTCCCTCCAGACTGCTGGCTTCTCACATGTTCTTAATTAATGGCACAGCTTCCAGCAAACTAGTTCCATAGTAGAAAAGTCATCCTAACACGAGTATTAACCATCCTAAATGGAAAGCCGTCGTGTCTCGTGCAGCAGGTTGAGCTTAGTTGGAATCCTGGCCACTTGATGTCCATTATTCTGGCGCAGTGTGATCCCTGGGTCTCATCGATGAGTTGATCAGTGAGTGGGCTGCGGTCAGCCTACAGGCGCACCTTGGTTCTGCACCATCATGCCTTCAGGCCTTGCCTGGAAAAAGGAAGAACAGTAGCGGGTGGCGCTGACAGGACTGGATGTGGGACAATAAATAATTCAGTGGGTGTGTAAGTGTTCAGAGCATCGGCACAGCAAAAGACATTTTGCTATGAGTCCTCAAAATCCTCTCCCTCACTTCCTATACATTCTTCCCGTTGTTCTGGCCACGTTCTGCCCCAGGTCTGAAAGTCCTCTTTGGTGCCTTTGGCGCACTGCTGTGACTGCCTCAGTGTCCTGAACCCATTCAGGCGCCTGCCTTGCTGATCGTTTTGACTTTGGGAAGAGCCAGGGGTCACACAGTGCTAGGTCTGGTGAACGAGGTAGATGAGGACATAGCATCGTGTTTTTATTTACCGCCTAGCAGCAGCTTTCCTGTATTTCTCCTAAAGATTCTCACAAAAGAGGATCAAGGGGTACGTGATTTCAAAGCAAGAGGGAGAGTTTTGCAGGTTTAGTGGGAAAGTGCCTTTTACTGGGCAAACTTTTCGCAGCTGAACGTACTTCCGAGGGCGTGGACCGTGGTGCTGTGTGCATGACTGTCCCGTGCTGCCTGGCTGGGTCCCTGATGGCTTAAACATCATTCTCCTTATGTTTTGGGTATACCTCATTAATAGGCCTGTCTCCTGAGATCAGAGTCCACAGGCTGTCCTCCCATATCCTGTGCCACAGGAGGCTGCTTTGATCCCCGTATTGAGGGAGCCTGGGTAGTGAGCAAGAAAGCAGAGGAATGAGGATGTGGCCAGCAGTTGTCATGGCAGAATCATTGTCACAGGCCAGCAGGGTGGATGCGACCCCAAAGGGCAGGCCTCACTGTCACCTGCAAGGGTGGTGTGGCCTCCGGAGGACCTGCCAAGGGTACTGTCCAGCACTGTCCTGCAGCGCATCTATCCTGGATTCCATGGGCATGGACCAGGGGGACACTTGACCCATGGGGTGTGCTGGGTGTGGCCTTGCTGCCCAGGAAACCAGGTTCTGTGAGGAGCCTGGAGCTAGCGAGCGGCCCGCAGCCCTTGCACGCGCACTGTACCAGGGCAATGGAAGGTAGTGCAGGGCAGTGGCATAGTTCAGGTGGTTCACAGGACAGCAGGGCATTCAGGTGTGGTAGCTGTGGCTGGTCCTGACAGCCGTGGGGAGTGACTGGGCTCCCTGGTCTGTGCTGGGTGTCACCCGGCCTGCTGGGCTTGACGTAGCCCTGCAGGGTACAGCAGGTGGGGGGCCTCCCAAGGCCGCGGGAAACCCAGAATGCCACTCATCGAGAGCCCCAACACAATGCTGCTGCTTCCCCACCATGGCCTAACCAGACCCCCCTCTTCCCTGGTTCCCGATGTCATATGTCACAGGGTCCTGGTGATGTCCCTTGTGCTGCTCTGCCAGTTTGGCATAGCTGCTTGGCACAGCGTCTGACTCAGAGGCAGTCTCAGGGTCCCAGTTCCCTGCCTGTTGCTCTGCTGACACAGTGGTATCTTAATTAGCACACTTTGAAACCCCGAGTCCTAGCCTGGGCTCTGTGTGTTCAGATCTGACTCAGCTGAGATAGCAAACCAAGCTTGATGTCCCCTAGTCCTCCCAGTCATGCCGTGCGGTGAGCGAAAACTGGGGAGCTTGGTTGCTGCAGGGTGCTGGGACAGCTGTGCTGTCTCAATCTTGGCTCTGCACCATGGGGAGCACACAGGAGCTCTGAATGGCTGGTGGCCATGCTGTGAGTCACTGCTGGCCACACTTCCATGAGGCATGTAACTCATACCCGGCCCAAGTGCTGTCCGGCATGGACTCTGCTGACCACCTACCTCTGTCCCAGTGCCAGATCATATACCCACGACAGCAGCTGTTGACACTGCGTGAGCTCGAGATGATTGGCTTCATTGAGAACAACGTGTCCAAGCTGAGTCTCTTCCTGAGAGAAATCTCAAGGTGCGAACAAGTCAACCTCTTGTTGTCACCAAGAATTTGCTCAAGTTCCTGGGGAGTCAGGGTTCTCTTGGGAGCCTGGGAGGGCCCTGGAGATGAGCTCCAAAGGCATCGAGGTGTGGGGTGCATTGCATTCGGGAGCCGGGACGTGTGACCCCAGAAATAGCTGGTGACAGTGGGAGAGGAGGGTGGGCGGGAAGGAGATGTATCAGAGCCTCACAGAACGGTGAGAAAGGGTGCAGGTACGCAGGAGGAGGGAGGCCACGCTGCTCTCCACGGCAACCATCTGGGGTAGGCGTTGGGATGGTCCAGAGAGCCTTGAGTTTCTGGTGAAAGCTTGAACTCCAGTCTGGAGCATGAGGTCTCAGCAAAGGAAGAAGCTGGTTTGGGTGACCTGCCAGGAGACTTCACTTGATTAAGGCAGAAACAGTGCACAGGTTCTGCAGAATCTGAGATTGGGACCAGTGTGCTCCTCTGGGGACTGGCCTCACACCCACATCTCTGCTCCTGGGTTGGCATGTGGTCCTGGCCCTGCCCAGGATGGGTGGAGATACCCCACCGGCCCAGAGGCCTTGGGGTCTGCTTAGCCCACCCGTGGACTCCCCTCATGCAGGGGAGCAAATGCCCTAAAATGTGCGTGTTCTCCATTGCACTTTGGCAGGAAGAGTGAGGGCCTCAGCGGCCGGGTCCTGAGGAAGCTCCCGTTCCTGGCCCACGCACTGTACGTCCAGGTGAGACTGGACCCACGCTGTCTACCACTTCCACCTGTGCACAGCCTTGGCCCTGCACTGATCTGAGATGCCAGGATCAGTCAGGGCTGGTGACGTAGCTTGGTGGCACAGTACCTGTCTGGCAAGCGTGAGGCCAAGAGTTTGATTCCTGGTACCAAAAAGTGAATAAGCTATACTGACAGGATCCTGAGGTGGGAAGCCCAGCCTTGATGCCTGGGCGGGGTTTTCTCTGGAGTCCTTGGGAGGAAAAAGGAGGGATCTGCACCCCCATGGTGTGGGCTCTTGGGCGTGGACTGTGTCACAGGCAGTGGCCTGGAGTTACCTGCCTGGCACCATCCCTTTTCCCCTCCTGAGCGCTGGTCAGTGGGGCCTCTGTGGTCTGGTGGAACAGATAAGGGTATCTGAGAGGAGAAAATGCATCCTGGCAGTTCTTTCTGATCAGTCGCTGGTGCTTCCCCCAGTCAGCAGCAGGCTTGTGCTGGGCTTGATGCTCGGTGCTGAGGTGACATAGGGTGGGCCGTTGGAGAAGGGCTCCTGGGTGACAGGCCTAGAGCCCGTCTGTCGTAGCAGCGCCTGTTCTTTGGTGAGTTAGCTGCTGGCCCCGGTGCTCACCTGCCCACTCCAGCATCCAGCTCTAACCTGCAGGAGATAGAAGGGTCATGGTTGTGTGTCCCGTATGGACCTGAGAAGGTCTTGGACTTGTTCAGCCGAAGTCCTGGGGCTGTCAGGCCCAAGGACGTTGCTGCTGTGTGACAGGATTGCTGTCTGCACTCTGCTCCTGGGTGGGGTGGTTGCTGCCAGGTGGCCCTGCACGGCTGCCCAGTGATGACTTCGTGTCCTTCCAGGCCCCCACCATCACTGTCGAGGGCTTTCTTCAGGCTTTGTCTCGGGCTGTGGACAGGCAGTTCGAGGAGAGGAAGAGGCTATCAGTGTGTGACTGAGCTGGCTCCATGGCTGTGTTTTCCATGCGTGCACAGGTGACACCACCAGCTCCCCACTCCGAGCAGCAGGTGCCCCACAGAGCCGCTCAGGGCTGCAGGCCAGCATGTCCCTGAAGGCAAGCATCGGTGTTTGTAAAAAGATAGTCCAAATCCTGTCAGTCTCCATGTGTTCATTCTCATCCTGGTCCAGCCAGCCACATGCAAGGATTGTGTGAAATAAAAGGAACCAGTGGCTGTTAGGAAACGAGGGGAACTCGAGCCCCTGCCTACACCTGTGGTCACAGCAGCCAGAGACGGACTCCCTTCGGGCTGGAGGAGGCAAGTGCGGAAAGCCATCCCCTCCTCCCCGAAACTGAATCCGACAGGAGCTGTGCAGGTGCTCCAGACAGCCTCTGGGCTCGGGAGACGTCATGCGACTGCCCGTGGCGGCACTGTTCAGTGGCAGCATTCGAATCCACTGCGGATCTACAGTGGCCAGTGGGAAGGAAGTGGGTAATGATGGGTGCATTTCACAGAATATTATGTTTTGCTTTTACCTCATGCAAAAGTAAACCTCGTATTAGTGCTCTGAACAAGAAATCCACTTTTTAAAAGATGTAACTTGTGCTCATAGGACATTTTTAAGTAATTAAAATCAATTTCAGTATTTTCTTGGATTCCATTCTCAAATGTGTGGCGTTTTTTGTTTTTTAGCAGGGATTCAACTTGGGGGGACCTCGTGCTTGCCAGGCAGGTGCTGTGCCACTGACCTAAATCCCCAGCCCCTAATAAGTGAATTTTACTAAAAATGACTCACAGTTTCCTCAGCAGGAGGGCTGCCTGTGTCCTGGGGACTCCGTCCCCATGGCCTGCAGGGGCCGCACCCAGGGTTGGGGACCTGTACCACACCAGTTAGGGCAGGTTCAGCAGGGCAACTCAGGGCAAGAGATGGAGCTGCAGCCTGGTGCCACTTTAGCAGTAGGGAGCCAAGCGTGGCTCTGCTAGTATTGGGGAGCCATTCAGGGAGGTTGGCTAGGGGGTTGGGCCTGGTCCTTACCCACAGGAGTAAGAGTCCATCGCCTCTGCCTCCACTTCGGGAGTTGATGTGCACCCACAGTGCCAGCTGGCCTTATCTCCAAGTCCTTTCTGATGGCTGGGAAGGGAGGCAGGAACCTGGAAAGTGGGTAGAGCACCTTGGATGCAGAGGCCAGGGCACCGGGCTCCTGACGCAGATTCCAGCTGAGTGATGATGTCTCTCCGGCATGCCGGGGTTGACCTTGCAGAGTTTACACACCTAACCTTTTTTCCCTGAAAATGAGACCTAGCTGGAAAACAATCAGCCCTGAAAATCAGAGATCAAAAATGCCTGCCTGAATCAGCCTGCCTCTGCCTGTGGCCCTGTCTTTAGTGGTTTGCATAAATGTCTGGTTTTCTAGTTGTTGATGTCAAGGAAGAAAATTCGGACTCCACTTCCTGGGCTGGTGGAAGCCCTGCATGAGCTTTGATCCAGGAAGGTGGCAGTTTTGCCTGTGACACCCTAGGCAGTTTTTGATCAGCCTGCTGGTCAGGGTGGTGGCCAGCCGCCCCCAGGCTTTCTTGTTGCTTTATGGGATGGACTGACCCTGTGAGCCAGGAAGATGAAGCCTCTGGGCCACCAGCAGAGGCTCCGACAGGTATTTTCCTGTTCTAGTGGACCAGGGGCCAGCAAATGAGGCTGTGCACAGCGTGCTTCCTGTCACAGGACACCAGCAGCTCCAGCCTACTTCCTGTTGAAGTTCCCAGACACGGCCACAGTCAACCTGTCTGCTAGTGCCTCTGCACTGACTTGGTCACTGCAGCCTTTTAAAGAGACATCGGGAGCCTAAGGTCAACTAGACCCAGCAGTGAGGTCAACTAGACCACAGGTGGAGTGGCCACGAGCTGGTGCAGTGCTTCCTAGTCGGCCAGGATGGCTCACCAGGTCCTGCACTGTGCCATGCTCAGCCGGGCCCACCCTCCTACAGCCTGTGGCCTGAACACAGCCCCTGCTGGCAAGCCCAGCAAACTAGAGTGCCCAGAGGAGATGCACAGAGCTGCTGCCTCTGGCAGTATTTTCTTCCAGAACCTTCTTGGCAGGGTAATCTGGCCCTGCCAAGCTGGCCCTGCATGCCCTACAGTGTCCATACTTGGGGCAGAGGTGATCTACAGGGTCCACTCAATACTTCTGAACCACAGGAGCCTCAGGGACTCTCCTGGTTGCCAAGGCTGGTGGAGGAACCAATTTCTCAGACGCCTGGGACTCAGATGTGGGGTCCCAGGGTGATGGCTTCTGCCAGGAGGTTTTCTCAACATGACTCTCACAGGGTCCGTGCCACAGGGACACTGCTTCCTCACCTGCACCACTTTGGCCTCAGGCCTCACCCCTGGTGCCTCTGCTTCCTCACAGTTGAGGCCCATCCTGTACCCCACATTGCCTACCATCTCTGGGCACTGGGCAAGCCTGGCCTTGGTTGCTGAGGGAGGTTGGGTAGCTGCCAGTGGAGGGCTGTGCCCAAGCGGGATGGGGCATGGACTGGGGCACAGGGCCTTCAGGGCAGGGCAGACCTCTGGCACCCCGGTGTGGCCCAAGGACCAGAGCACACCGAAGCCAGGGGCACTGGGTCTCAGACTCTGCCAGGCACTTGAATGGCAGTGTCTGGGTCTTGCCAAGCCTGTCATCCAGGGCAGTGACACTGTCAGGCAGCAGGTACCATGGACAAGTTCCCCATTCCCTGAAAGAAGTGGTGGGTCTGAGGTTCTGGTGGGGGGACCCAGGCTCTGGGCTTGGAGCCGTGAGAACCACATGTTCTCAGTCACACAGCGTCAAAGTGCTGAGGGCTGGGTTGGACCTGAGGTTGGAAGGTTTGACAGGAGAGCCAGACACAAGGTCTAGGGGCTCAGCAGGTGGGGTGGGGCCCAGGCCAGCTGGAAACAAGGACAGAACTGACCCTGGACAAGCAACACTGCTGATGGCTCTGCCTCATCCCACTAGGGGGCAGCACCTTCCTATGGGGTGGGGTGGGACAGTCCAGGTTAGGGCACCAGGGTCCAAGGAAGGTCAGCGAGGCTAAGGCTGTGGGGCTCCCAGGGTGTCTACACACACACTGTGAGTGTCCAAAGGGGAGAAGAAAGGGACGAGACCAGGGTTGCAGCTGGCCTGCCAGGCTGGCTGGGTGTTTTCTGGCCTTTGGGGGCAGAGAATCATGGTTTTCTGAAGTTCGGAGTGGCCTGCTGGGGATCGAGTAGCCATGAGCTGAGGCCTACATCCTCAGGAAGATGACCGTTCACCCGGATCTATCCCCTGTGCTGTGTCAGAAGGTGCCAACCCCAACACATCATGTTACCGTGGACCCACAGCAGCCACAGGGAGGGAAGAGATCCAGGGAGTTGGAGACGTGTGGAACACCCTCCCTGTGCTGCCTCCTCTCCCCTCTGTTTCCATAAAAGGGCCCCTTGACGCTGAACATGGGTGCTAAAGGTGGTGGTTTTCTCCCAGGGATCCAAAGGGTCCAGCATGGGGAGTTTCCATCCCCCGGCACACAGCGCAGGGAAAGGCTGTGCACCATCTCCATGAACCTGTGGGTAAGGGTTGCCCAGCAGGGCCTAGTGTCCAGGGGAGCCTGCAGTGGGCTCCTCCAGATAGACTGGATGTCCAGCAAAGGACTCCTCACTAGCATCCTACAGGGCCAGCAGGCCTGGGTGGGGGGCTTCCGATGTGTTCAAGGCAGGAGGCGTGGAGCTTGGGTGCCTGCATCTGTCTTCCCATCTGCCTGAGCTCTTCAGAGATGTGGCGTGGGCTGAGAAGAGCAACGCTGAAGCGTGCGTGGCCTTGCCTGGCCGCCCTCGGGCAGAAGAGGGTACACAGTGCTGAGGGGGAGAAACTGTGCCTACAGGGGCAGAGCCAGACCTGCAGAGCCACTGTTCCAGGGTGCTGGGCTCTGCGCCCCACCTACGAGTCCTAAGGAGATAAGCAAGGGGTAGTGGAGGGCTCCCGTCAGGAACACATGCCTTCCTGCCCCTGCCATGGCAGGAAACTCTTCCCTGCCCATCATGGGGTTGATTCATGGCTGGGACTCTTCCTTCTCCTCTTGCAGTTGGTTATCCCTTCTGACAAAACCTTTCTTGCTGTGTCACCTGAGTTATTATTGTTGGAAAGTGGGTTTTGGATCACCTGGATTATCTTTTAGGACTGAAAACCTGTCATTCTGTGTTACTAGGTAGCGCCTACAGCTAAAACCTTCCCTACTCACCTGAGTTATACTTATGGCTGGAGATCTTTCTTTTTCTATCATCTAAGTATACTTTATGATTAAAATCCAACTTTATCACCTGTTTTCATTTGTGGCAGAAGAATCTCATCTAGTCTCTCATCCCGTCTAGGAGTCAAGACTGCATTTGGTTTTCTCTTCCACCTCTCTTATCCTGTACAGCTGACAATTTCTTCCTCCTTCACCTTAAAAGAGTTATCTTTTATGACTGGAAACTGCTTAGTCTGTCATCTGAATTGTTTACGACTTGCACCTTCTTTCTCTGTCACAGGGTTATTGCTTATGAACGACACCTTCCTGTCGCCCGACTTACAGCTCATGATTGGAAGTCTTTCTCATCTCCTACCTCACCTTTGTGACTGTGACCCTTCTCAGCTGCCTAGGTCATTGCTTATTGAGGATTGAAATATTTAGGTATGGATTTTCCTTCATGGTTAGAAATCTTTAGCATCTGAGTTTCCATTTGTGGTTTGGAAGCTCGTTTTTTCCTCTGTCACTCTAGTGAGTTAGCCTTGTCACCACAAAGCTCCTATCACCTAAATTGATTGTGATTCCCAGCTTCTGTTTTAGTCACCGTGTCACTGCCCAAGACTTGGAGGTCTTCGTACATCACATAGATCCTTTTTATGATAGAAACTTTGTCTATCACCTGAACCATCAATACTGAGTTACTATTCACCACCGAGACCCTGTCCTCTGTCACCTAAGTTCTAACCAAAGACAGCTACACTTTCCTCTGTCGCCTCTTTACTATGAGGGTCTGAGACACTTTGTCCCTGTTATCTGAAGTACGGTTTATGACTCGGTTACCAGAGTGATCCCTCAGGAACTCAGGTGACACTCCCTCCTCCGAGCGGGGCTGTCGAGATGGAGACACCTAGCTCCTCGGGTACTGCGATTGATCACATGTGTTATTTATTAACCTCTTTGTCTCCCTCTGAGTTACCGTGTGATTGGAAAACGCCCGTCTGCATCATGAGCAGTGTAGTTGTCACTGAGCTCTCAACCTTGCATCTGAGTTAGGTGTGTGTGTGTCTCGCCTCGGTGTGTTTCACAAAGACGTCACCTTCCCGCAGCTCATCACATTTCGTGCACAGTCTTCATTCAGAGCTTTTTCTCTCACCTCAGCAGTATTTTTCTGGAGAAAGTAGAGCACCCGATAAAACTCTGGAGGGAGGAGCTGTTGCACCCTTGGTCCTGCCTTTGCTCGAGTCCTCTGACGTGGCTTTTCTGGGTCCTCAGTTCCTTCATACTTCCCTGACAGTGTGTGCCTCCTTGAGCACAGGCCCCTGGAGCGGAGTAGCTCCAGGCAGGTACCGCACTGCCAACGTGTGTGCCACCCGTCCCATGGCACACTCAGGAGCCAGCATCACCTGGCTGAGATGTCGCATGGCTC